CCCACCTGCACTGCACAGGCATTTCAAGGGATCCTATTTGCTCACTTTATGATTCTGGAGAAGAAATGGACAGAGGCCCTTGCTTCAATGTGGGGCTCTTCGTGGTTGTACAGAGGAGTCGAGATACTGGCAAGAGCGAGTATCTCGACAGAGTACAGAGGCAAGAGCGCTCTTTAGGAAATGACTTCTGTCTTTTTGTTCTTGGTTCTATTGTTTGCAGTTATGTTGCTTGTTTCTTTGTTTGTAAGATTTTAATTCTTTGTAACTTTCTTCCAAACCATTCCGCAAAAAAATAAATAAATAAATAAATTAGAGTTTCTACACAAAAACAAGCAGTTTGGTAAGCGAGCAAAGAAAGAAGATTTTTCGGTGCATAAAACTGAAAGTTTACTTTATTTTCAATTGGTAAAAAGATAGTGAAGGTGCAGAATCTGGCGTAGTTCACTATTCTGCTAAGTTTGAAATGTAAACAAATATGGCAGCTCTGTTAGGCTTAGCCGCACTTAAACAACTTTTAAATTGTTTATAATTTTACAGCTATTGCATGCAGATTAACTAAAGGCATAAAAACCTTAACTGAAACATAACAACTACATAATTCAATCATTTTTAAAGCAAAAAATGCATAATTTACCAGCATGTAAGAAATATATTTATATACGTTTGATGCGGCCGATTGCAATCAAAAAGGGAGGGACACAACTACATGTTTCAGCAGTCCTATATACAAAATGTCAACGTTCTGAGGCTACTCGTTTTTGACTTATGCGAGATACAATCATACACACGTAGGGAGCATACATACGTTTAGGGGTCACGAAAAAATATCTTCTGAATCTATTTTACAGTCTGCTTTGGGGAAAAAGTCACTTATTCTGTCCTTACAAAACAGATGTTAACAGATGTAAACATCGTTAAATTGCGTTATATAGTTGTCAAAATGGATATTTCCATTGAAATATGATACCCGAAATTTTTCTCGATTACAATACTTCCTTTACTTCGTAAAAGCATGTAAAAACTCAAAATAAAGTTAGGATAAATAACATACATTTCTAAACTGATTTATTAATGTGACATAAGAATTTTATAACCAAGAAGCAATATTTAACTAAGTGGAAGTTAAACTTTTGTATTATTCGATGCTAAAATAGGTTATAAATATTTAGCTGTTTACATATTTATTTACAGAAACAGTATTATTAAATTTCAGTATGAGAATTTTTGATAGACAGTCTAGCGTTTCGGAGATATAAAAATATTTTATTCCGTACAGTGTGTTGCCACTACCTCGCGTTTAAATCGTTGAGTTTATTAATCAAAAATTCATTAATATTTAAAAAATGTGAACTAGATAATAAAACAAATTCGAAATTCAATATTTCATGGCTCTAGGTAACAGTGTCTTTTCACAATTCTAGAAACATATATAAACATGATAAATAACATAAAAACATAAACATAAATATGTTCATGCAAATTCTTAAATATTCGTTCTTTAAATGTAATACAGGGCAGTGATATTTGGGGAAACAATTTGAAAAATGATACAGTCGTTTAAAGTGATTCTATGCAAAATGTCATTTCGAGACTTCTGGGCTGATGCCCGTTTGGTCTAATAATAAAAAGCAACGAAAAGTTCATATTTTTTATTCACATATCTGCTATTTAAACATTTCAGAATAATTCTTAAAATTGCATCAAAATTCTTGAAATTACGTGAAATGTAGAAAATCCTTGAAATTACATGCACGAAACAACGAAAAATGTTGGAATAATTTTATTACTTCAGGCATTAATACCGTTTTTATTTTAATTTCCTCTAATACATTTTGGCATTTTAGAATTATATACTCCTCTGTGTAAGTTCAAACGTTAGCTCTTAAACCATTAAACAAAGCACCCAAGATTTTAAATCAAATAAGTTTTGATCGTTTCTTAACGAAGATAGCTCTCAAATTTAAACGTAGGAAATAAAATTAAGAAAATTTCTTGCTTATAACTATGAAAGATTTCCTGCTATATGTTTCCGAACTATTCGAACAAATATGATATGGAATCAAGCGATGTGTAAAATTTATACACTTCTACACAACAGAGCAACGAATAAAACCTGCATTCTTAAAGCAAATGTTTGAAGAAGACGCTTATGCTTTTAAAGAAATGAAATTTCTTTTACACAGCAGACGATAAGCAATTTATTTAAAATGGCTGATACAGCATCGTTTTTACATACAGTTCAAGTTTAGCTTAAACAGTTAAGCATGGAATTTTAGTTTTATGAAACTTAAATAGACTGAGTTTTCACCTCAGGTAATGTATTAAATTTACAGAACTCTGAGTTTAGCTTTCTTATAAAGGCTAATAGCATTTAAAATATCTCGACATTTTCAAGTTCTGAAGGAAAGAATGTGTGGTCTGTATTTTTTGAGAACTTTGGGAAAATTTTCAGGCAGGGTTGCATATAAATAAATTCAGTTTGACTTTGTTTCAAATGGATATTTAAATATTCAATCGCTTAGAGTGGTATGAAAGTTTTGGTACCCCGAAGTTCTTTGCACGCATGTGTATTTCTTGTCTTTTATTTCCCTTCAGATAACATAACATTAGTTGAAAACTTGCTTTTGTGCCCGACAAGTTGCTAGTTTTCGACGGCATAGTTAATCAACATTTTACCATACTGCGTAAATAATGTTTTAATAATCTTATGTTTTAAATCTGTATCTTTTAACCACTGTTAGTTAGAAATGATGAATGATCAGTTCTGCCTTCAGTATCAAAGAAAAGACAATGCTATCTTCTACTATACGATTAGTATCTAAGAATTAGTAAATGATAGGCTTCTTAAGAGGTAACTGTGATCGAGTGTCAGCATTGATCGAGTGCTTCACTAGAAGCCCAACCTCTCTTAAAGGTAAGAATGCCCTGGGGCATTATTAAATAGTTTTTATGGCAACAAAGGTATTAGACAGCTGAACAGTTGAAACATACTGTTAAGAAAGCATTCACAAGAATCATTAAAAGTCCGAATAATTTTATGAAATTTTCCCAAAACTTCGCAAAAAAAAAAAAAAAAAATGCTGACGGATCACTTTGGGCGACGTATGGCTAAATATTAAATTTTGTTAAATTTGGTGCGAAACGTACTGAGAAATTTAAAAATTTAAGTTGGCGAACTTTTTCCAGTTTGCACCAAGGATTCTAGTTTGCACTTGGCGAAATTCTTAGTTTATGTTAACTTATTTTCTTTTCTCTTCATTCTCATTCTACGCAAGCAGAAACAAAGTGCATCGTTCATTCTTTCAATTAATTTTAAATTAATGTATACTGCTCAAAAAAATGTTATATATCTCCCACTATACTGGGCCGATTGACGAATTCAAATCGCGGTTTTCATGTCTCGAAAGCACAACTTAGGATATATATTATATTTATATACAGCAGTGTTCTAATATAGGTATTCTGACACAAAATCAGACTTTTTCTGAAATGACATGCCAATTTTATTCCACACTTCGATTCAAAGATTCAAATTATGGCTAAATATTAAATTTCGTAAAATTTGGTGCGAAATTTAGAGAGAAATTTAAAAATTTATCTTGGCGTATTTTTTTTTCAGTTTGCGTCAAGGGTAATTAACTTATAGCAACTTTGTTTCTTTCCATTTTTTTCCATTGTAAACGAGCGGAATAAAGGTCACGTTCATTACTTTCAAATAATTTTAGCATAGTGCGTGAAACCATATTTGCGTTATTTTCGCTTGTAACGAATATGCCTAATTTTAAAGCACGCCAGTATGTAAATTCAAGTATATCTAGTAATGAAATCTAATGAATAAAAAACTCCAATTTTTTGCAGGTGTACCTAGAAATACATCTACGAGTATTTTAAGATGATGTTAAAAATTTTATAGGTTATAATTCATTTTTTTTTTAATTTATAAAAAATATTTTACAAATTTCAAAAATAAATCATAAAAAATATGCGAATTATATTTGGATTAAGCCTAAATTTCGAATTCTGGAAAAAGGTATGAAGTAAGTTTAATAAAAAAAGGAGATATTTAAGTAATATATATCAACTTCAGTTAACATTGAGAAGTTAAAATTTTGAGAGCTAATTTGTCAAAAACTACTCGTGCGAGTTTAATAAAACTTAGCAGTTTGTCGCCCTCACTTTTCAAAGTCTTCTTTTTTCAGGTATAAACACATTTGTTACATTCATGCGCGATTTGGTGTTAGCCAAAGCTTTAATTTTCCATTTCTGTTGAGTGTACTGTCCCGTGATTTTAGAAGTAAGTGTGTGTATATACAAATAGGATAGTACTTTCAAAGACTCACAGATACGTATATATATATATATATATATATATATATATCAGTAAAGACATAAAGTAAGAGACTTCGAACTAATTTTTCACAAAGATCAAAATTTGAAATTCATAATTTATAAATTTCAAACCTACACTTTTTCAAACAAGCAACAGTCCAATTAAAAAAATTTAAGAAATTTAAAGAAAAATGAACATAGTAGAAGAGCAATTCAATCAATTTCAATGCCACTTCGTCAGGGAGGAGAAACAGTGAAATCAATTGATATCTCTCTGCCACAAAAATCTTTGCTTTTCTGTATCCGGAGTTGAATAGCGATTTCAACTGATTTCAATGTTCCTCCTCCTGAAGAAGTGGTATTGAAGTTGATTGAATTCCTCTTCTACTATGTTCATTTTTCTTTAAATTTCTTATTTTTTTTTTAATTGGACTATTGCTTTTTTGAAAAGTGCTGGTTTTAACATTTTTTTAATTTTGTATTCCATTTATAATATTATTTGAAATTTATTAATTATGAATTTCAATTTTTAGTCTTTATGAAAAATTAGTTCTAAATTCCTTACTTTATTTCTTTGCTTATAATTTTTCAGTAGATTAATATGCGTGAATACTAGGCATACTTATATTTTCTTTTTAAAAATTGTTTTGTAACTATATATATATATATAGGATGGCAACTTCAGTGGCTAACAGATGGTGCTTACCTTCATTCAGTGAAGCTGAGACGAAACGGACGATAGAACTAAAGACAAAAACAAGGAGGATAGATGCTGTGTAACGACGCAAAGACGAACTATTCTTTAATATAATATTTAACATTTTATAAATAGATTCATGTTCCTATCTTCATTCTGTTTGTGTGCATCATCTTAAAATCATCATTAAATGAAATTTCAATTTTACTGTCATGTTTACATCATCTCGTGGACACCATGAATATCTAAGTCTTTGTTCTATGTAGTAAGTTCTACGAAAAGGAGACCTAGATATACACTCACGTGCAAAATTAACAGGATTTGTAAATTATGGCTAGTTTTAATAAAAAAAATTATGGCTATTTTTAATAAAAGCTATTGAACTGAAGGTAGTAATTATGTCGCCGAAGAGTTATGCAAATATTCAGAGTCGAATATGTAATTCACAATGGAATTGCTTCTCGTAAGAGTTAGGTAAATTTTATATGGTATTGCATAAAATAAGTATCCACCAATGTACTAATGGCGAATTGAGGTGAAGAATTGTCTGTAGATTGGAAACAGGCCAATCCCAAGCGCAGATGACTGCAAAACTAAATGTAATGCCCACTGTCGTCTGCAGTTTCTGGAAACACTTTTAGGACACTGAATCCATATCGAAAAGACTTGATGAAACCCAAACAAGATCTACAACGGCAAACGAGGATCGTATTTGACGCCTTCGCGCGGCGACACAGGACTGCTGCAGCTTCCCAGCTCCAACGTGTACTGTATGCTGCTACTGAAACCCAATATTCACGGTCTAAAGTTACACAAAGGTTCATGTGATAGAACTGTTTGCCAGAAGACCCACTGTTTGTGTCTTGCTCACTGCAGCACGAGAAGAAGCTCGTTTAGTAAGATGCCCACAACATGCGCCTTGGACCAGACTAAATTTGAGAGCAGTTGTATTTTGCACATTCAGCCTTTCGGCGTACCTATGTCTAGGCATACCTATTCTCGGCGTACCTATGTATAGATAGTCTGTAACACGATACCATCCATCCCTCATCAACGAAAAGGATCGTCACGATGGTGGAGGTGTAATGGTTCGAGAAGGCATTATTTTGGACGACCATCCCCCCTGCATGTATTCGGCTATGAAGCCTTACTGCTATGAGGCATCAGAGCACTGTATTCGACATTTCAGGTTTCTGGTTTCCTGCTGATACACGACAACGCTCTCCTAATACACATACGGTTCAGCTGTTCGACGACTACAGGGAAAGTGATGATATTCGCCGCATAGATTGGCAAATCAAATCGTCTCATCTATTAATTCTATCTTGATAGATGAGACACTTGATGGCTTGATAAATTTAAAAGATGAGACGATTTTGCTTGATAGATGAGACACTTGATGGCTTGATAAATTTAAAAGATGAGACGATTTTGCTTGATAGATGAGACACTTGATGGCTTGATAGATTTAATAGATGAGACGATTTGACCAAATTTGGGAAGCTCTTGGGAGGGCAATTTTATTTCACCAACTCCCTCTGAGGGCCATCCTGGAACTGAAACTGCCATTCTGCGGAAGTGGGATCGACTGCCACAGGGACTCGTAAACTGCTTCCTCTCCATGCCGTCATGCTGCGAAAATTGTTTGGCAGTGGTAGAGGATCGTACTCCATATTAGATTCATTTTCAGTTCGATATCACAAGATGGATTTTAAATATCTCTGTACTATGAGCTTTACTAATTATCACGCATACATAAAATGACTTTTGAATGGTACATCTCTTTCTCTGCTATAAATGTGTATTTATACTTGGTTTCACTAAATTTTGTTCTTTAGCTTTTCAGAAATTCCGACTAAAATGCAAATTTTCTTAATTTTGCACAGGAGTGTATATATATATATATATAATATATATATATATTAAAATGTTAAATAAGCATTCTTTAGCTTTTTATGAAAACACTGGAGATAACCTCTACTTTATTATTTCATTTAAATTAAAATGTTTCTGTAAAGGCAGTTTTATATAAAATTTTTAATTTTCTGGAAAAGTTTTCTGGAAAGTAATTTTGAATCCCACTATCCAAGACAATTTTCTAAAATATCTTTAATATTCTCAGAATTTATTAGACAAACGACTTATGAATTTATTTTTAAAATGTATGAAAATCTTACTTTATCAAAAAAATTTTCAAAAATATTATAACCAAATTAATTAATTCTTATAGGATTCCAGTAAACATACGGCGAATTCCAGTAAACATGCTTATTTTAATATATTAAATATATGTAACTTTACTTTTTGATTTATTTCCTACTTAAAGACACTGAATATTCTGAATTTAAAAATAAGAAAACTTTAGATTAGCAAGGACAAAACAGTATTCCCTTCATGTACGTAAATCGAAATAATAAATCACAGCAGTCTTCCAAAACATTTGAAATTTTCTTTATTTTCTAAACAAATATTAAAAAAAGAATAAATCCTAATACATTATGTGATATTTTTGCAGATAAGTGCAGTTCTATGTGCAAACTCAACTACACCGTTTTATTGGCGCAGAAATTCATTGCAAATGGTTTGTTGTCCTTCATAAATTATTTTAGAGATTATCCAAGTTAGTAAGTTTCCTTTGATATTAAACTTGCTGTTGATTGTGCAATTATTCAAATTTACAGAGCTCTGATATCTGGTATTTATGTTATAAGAATATAGTGCAAATAGGAACAGTGAAAGAGTCTCTCTGTGCGTCTGTGCCTTTTCAGTAAAATTTTTTCTTAAAATTGAAGAATGAAAATCTGGATAGTAACGTATAAATGTATAAAGAGAATGAAAACAACGAAATATTATCTAAGAATTCTTTTCAGATGTAAATCCTGACTTGTCTTTTGTTGTTATTATTATGAATTTATAAATTAGTTTTCTCCCATAGAAGGATTTGTTGTCTTGAATAAATTAGTACAAGAATTGCTTTGAAAGGTTTTATTTTTCAAAAGGATAAGAGTGTGTTCGAAATACTTTCTATTTGAATTCAGCTCCACACTTTCTATACAATTTATAGAAAATTACATTATTTGCAAAAACTTATATTAGTTTTGAAAATATTTACAATACACTAGCATTGCAAGTCCCAATTTTTATAATTTTTATACCTAAAATTCTACCTTAATATAATACTTTTTAATGATTACAACAACACAAAAATTTACATAAAATATTATCACATAATAGGTGCACCTCTTTACTGAAGAGATGGTTCCTGTAAAATATAACGGATTTTACAAGAAGTTTAATTTTCTGATAATTAATTTACAGATAATGGAAAAATACGAAAAAATCTTCATTCTTCAATTGAGATCCAATGACACAATTTGCAGGAAATATAACAGGAGTTTTTATCCAACAAATTACATGCAAGTGTTATAATAAATATTATAATTGAATTAAACTAAGCAAAATGAATGATTACAATGAAATACTACATTCTACATCCATAATAATCTGCAATATCAGATTCTTATCGAAAATTATCACTTTTAATATGCATTTTATTACAGTAATTTAGTTATTTAATTTTCAGCCGCACGTAAAATTACGAACTTATACGTGCATTCTTAATATATTCTAAAATATTAAAATATTGATGATAGAAATACTATCATCGGATAAAATACGTTACCAAAAATTTAAAAGCGTTTTTACTATTAACTACACTGATACAATTTCATAAGTAAATACTCATATGACTCTTATATTTCTTAAATGTATGTGTCTTCTATAAATAAAGACAATGATTTTTTTTTTGGTTTTTTTGGTTTAATAATTAACAAAGAAAATAATAGTAAACATGTTTATCAATCGATATGCAAAATATTAACTAAAATAAAATACTATTTTGTTCACTGACGTGGTTTAAATATTTTGCACCTTTAAACATAATGCAAATTATGTTTAAAGGTATGATTTATGCATTGAAACTTGGTAGTTAAAACATAATTTGCATTATGTTTAAAGGTGCAAAATATTTAAACCACGTCAGTGAACAAAATAGTATTTTATTTATTTTAGAAGTATTTTTAGAAGAAGTGAATACTTGTTTTGGTTAAGTCTTTGCGAGGTGCAATGAACTATAGATTCCAGAATAATTATAGGGAAAAGATTATAGAAAGGAAGAAAGGGAAAATTTAAGCAGATATAGTTATTATATTGATGTAGAAAGACTAAAATATCACTATATAATTAACAGAGTATTAAGTGAGAAAAACTAATAAATCGAAAGGTACAAATAAGAAAAAAATGCGGGTTATACGATCATGTAATAGAATATATTTAAAGTTCTTTGAACGCTACTCCTTTCAATTGTATACTGACTGTTAGTCGCATTCAGCTCCAGTTAGCAAACTAGTAGTTATTATCTTGTTTTGATTTATGCATTGAAACTTGGTAGTTTTTATCCTTAAGAAATAACAACTAGGGAATTTAATTTTCTGATTTCTTGCATGTAAATACTGCGTATTGAAATTTGTAAACTAAGATATTAATATTCTCATTTTAAAGAGGTACAAATGCCTCCCTAACTGTACATGAACGATGACAAAAATATGTGACACATGAAATCAAGGATGTTAGCAGAATGTACTGAAGAGAGATGTGTAATTTGCATAATAGTTCCTTGACTGAAACAAAGTGAAAATGTTTCTAATATGATATTTCTTCTGTTTTAGGAGCAGCAGTCACAGAAGGTACAGCACCAATAGAGTTTCAGATAAAACAAAGATCAGGTGCAACCAATCATATGTTGGTAATACTTTAATCATATGTTGGTAATACTTAATTTTCGACCAGCTTCCTTCAGCAGAGTGACTTTTCCAAAGTTATGATGCTTAACTCCTAGATCCTTGATTCATGCCAATATTATAGTTGAACAAAGATGTATCTATTGGAACAATGCGCCTTTCAGCTATATCATTGTTAGGGTCTTCATAATCAGGTGAACTCTCATAATTCCTATGGGCAGGCTGTGGAGCATACTGTTGCTGAGGTGGCGCGTAAGACTGGGGCCTCGACCGTGGCCTTGGACGAGGAGCGTACGCTTGAGGTTCTGGTGCATATTCTGGTTGCGCTGGGGGTGCCCGGTAAGCAGGTTGTGCCGGAGGTGCTCTGTAGGCAGGTTGTGGTGGTGGAGCATATGCTGGTTGTGGAGCTGGTCTAGGAGCTTGAGGTGGTGGAGCCCTATATGCAGCAGGAGCAGGGGCTGCTTGAGCGGCTGCTCCTGGACCACCTTCTGGTCCAATATCTCCCTGGGCTTTGAAACCATCCTTTCCAGCTGTATATTTAACTATTCTTTGTCTCCCGGTTTCATCAACATATCCGTATGCTCCTTGAACAGTGCCATCAGGTAATCGAGTCTCTTCACGAAAACTTTGACCTAATGTTCCTTTCCCAGTATCGTAGCCGAATTTATAATCACCAGCCAACTCCTCTCCTATGTTAACATAATGTACGGATGCCGGCTTATAGACTGCATTCTGGCTTGGGCGAGGATGATAGACCTCTGGAGGTGGTCCTTGAGCTTGGGGTGGAGGTCCTCGTTGAGGAGGGGGCCCACGCTCCGGGGGATATTGTGAGTAAGCCAATGAAAGGAGGCTGAAGAGCAAAACCTACAAAAAATGCAGTCATCATATTTATGCATTCAAATGACTAAAATTGCAAACTGATTTTCTAAAGGCAATTCATTTAGATAAAGCAAGGGGTAGGATGCCAATATTTCACGTTATATACTCACTAACGTTTTTACTTAGCTGCAGATTAATAAAATGCATCTTAAAATAAAGCAGTCGAACTTACTTGATGCCATTAATTGTTGCAGTTTATAAATGTCGTATTTCAGCAAATCATACGCAAGCTTTATGAGTAAGTTTATAACACAGTGCTTTACACATGTGTCCACAGAAGTCCTTATCCGAGTTTTATTTTCGCAAACGTTTGAGTTAGAAATATACTTGCAATTGCAAAAATGCCTTAAATGACACAAAGATTCTTCTATAACTAAAGGACTTTCTAAAAATTGCACCATGTTTGAGAATAAAACTATATTAATCAATATTTTAACAATTTTGTGCACTTAATCTTTAACATCAAAATCCGTTTTCTAAACGATATTTTATTTTTATTTAAGTATAAATGCAAAGATTCAATTCCTGTAAGAACCCTAAATGTCCTATTTTTTATATTAAATATCTCTTTCAAAGTGTGTCGTACTGGAATCGTACTGGTTTTAAGTACCAGTACATACCAGTACTGGAATCGTACTGGTATGTCGTACTGGTTTTGTGTTTCATTTTTCATAGCCAGTATAAAATTTTCCTAAATATATAAGTATAGCGACCAGACAAATATCTAAAATTTAAGATCTCTAATTTTCATAAAATTCATTTTTCTAAGTTTAAAATGCCAAACCAAGTATCTTTGAGTCCTTTAAAACATTTTTGTAACCGGAAGTCTTTATCTATGAACAACGGTTGTAAGAAGAAAACTGGGTAAGGACTTTTGCAGACACAGTTTATAATACATATCTTCGTATGATCTCTTCCTAAATTGTACACTTGGGAGTAATTTGTGTACTTTTAATTTTCCAACTAGTTAAAGTTTGTATTTATCAGCATATACAGTAGTATGCAATATGAATCCATATTTATCATATGTATAAGTTTTCTGTATATTCACGATCTGCTTTTTATAATTATTTATTTATTCAAAGCTCAATCACTGCTACACGATAACTCAGCAAATGCACAATCATGAAAAACCTCTCAGAAAGTAATTAATGGCCTTTAAATTAGTTTCACCAATAGCACATCTATTTGATACGATTTCCTAACGTCCCAGTCTTGCCGCTTTCACGATGGAAAGACAGAGAGTAATTTGTGTGACTGAAAGCAGAATAAAGCGAAGGATCATTTTTAAAAATAATATAGAAAAGGATATTCACCTTGATTTGTTTAAATTTAATATTTATTTATGAAATAAAAATAGTCCCCAAAATACAATTACTTAATTAATTGTATAAAAATATTACTATACGATGATCCCAAAAAATGCGACGTGTAAATTATAATTTATTACTTAACTCAAGCACACTCATAAGAGTTTCCAAAACATTTGCAATTCTAAGATCTTCCCAAAACAAAGTATTATCCACTTTCATAAAATATCTCAACAGCTGGTCAAGTCACTCTTATTTCATCCTTTTTCAGGATTCCCCGAAAATGGCTGAAGTATATTATTAAGCTACTTTCATGCTCTGAATGAAACTGTCAGAAGCTCATCAAGTTGAACAGCAAAAGAAGACGAGAAGAAGGGGAAAAGAAAGGATAAATAAATGAAAAAGAAAATTCTCGCTAAGTTATCACGTGCTGAAAAAAATTTGTTTTCTTTCATTGCTTCTTCTTTCTCGTTCCTTAGCTGCAGGCTCGTGAAAACAACAGCAGCTTGTTTTTATAGATGCCGCATCATTAAGATTCGATAGGCAGTTGCAGGTGGAAAGCGCAGAGTACCATCATTTATTGGATAGTGAGTTATCTTAGAGGTATCTGGATCGAGATTATGGATTTCTCCATCCTACCGTTCTAATTTAGAACGAGCTTTCGCGGGCATATATTAGATCTACTAAATGGCAAGCAGTTTTCTCGTTTATACTCGAGCTACACAGATGAGGCGTTAAAACGTACACGCTAGGCCTCGTGGAAATCGTCTGTGTTAATGGAGAATATATGTTTGGTAATAGATTCTTCTGATTATAAAATGAACAAATGTTCGTGAACAAAGAGAAAGAAAGAATAAATATGCATATGTTTAGAAATTCTTAAAAATGTCACTAAAACCTCAGTAATCCGGAACCTAGTTACCTAAACTTCCTGTTATTTGAATCTGTTGTTCTTTCTAGATTAAGATTAAACTCGCTGTTAATTTATTTGCGCATTATTAGTAGCTTAGCTTGATTGACATAGTATCAAAAGATAATGCACTGCAAAAAATGTTTTAAGCAACTTTAAGTTTTCGACTTTCGTGCAGAAAAATAAATAAATCAAAACTGGAGTATGCGTTTAGTTTTTGAGCCTTTTTTATTTAAACATTTCATTATTTTTTTTATTTGAAATTAAAATGTGTTGTGTGTTAAGGCAAATAAAAAGTAATTTCGCTGCTTCTCGAGAAAAGTGTGGCTTGCTTCACAGAAAACGTAGTTCTTTTCTTCCCCGAATGTATGATCTATGTTGAAGCAGTGAAACGATACAAGAAAAAAAAATAGTTTGCATTTGGCCGTACAAATACAATATAATTATGCGGACTTCTCAAAAGAGCGGTCACCAGCAGCCGAGTGGTAAAGTCGCTGAACACTGGTATTCGCAAGTCGCTGAACACTGGTATATTTCGATTCCAGGCAAACGGGCTGCTGCATCGGTGTTTCCGTGGTTTTCCCCATGTGTAACGTATATACGATCCAGTTTCCCTTGGAAAGCTCTTAACTAAGGCATACCTGCACTAACACGGATAGCCCTCGAGGGCTTTGCCATAATTCCATAAACGAAACCAAACCAAACCAAATCTCGAACATGAGTCTGCGCAATGTTGCAAATAGCTTGTTTCAAATAACTGAACAAGGTATAGATATCCAATTTTGGAATATCTGTACTTTGCATGGTTTCTTAAAATTCTAACTTGTTTTATAAATACAGTATTTTTATATAATTTACATTTCTCACACTATGCAATAACATTAAAATTGTTTTTAATGTTATTGCATAGTGTGAGAAATGTAAATTATATAAAAATTTACATTTCTCACACTATGCAATAACATTAAAAACGAGAAAGAAGAAGCAATGAAAGAAAACAAATTTTTTTCGGCACGTGATAACTTAGCGAGAATTTTCTTTTTCATTTATTTATCCTTTCTTTTCCCCTTCTTCTCGTCTTCTTTTGCTGTTCAACTTGATGAGCTTCTGACAATTTCATTCAGAGCATGAAAGTAGCTTAATAATATACTTCAGCCATTTTCGGGGAATCCTGAAAAAGGATGAAATAAGAGTGACTTGACCAGCTGTTGAGATATTTTATGAAAGTGGATAATACTTTGTTTTGGGAAGATCTTAGAATTGCAAATGTTTTGGAAACTCTTATGAGTGTGCTTGAGTTAAGTAATAAATTATAATTTACACGTCGCATTTTTTGGGATCATCGTCGCTTTTCGCAAGTTTGATAAAACTAAAAATAGTTTCCTTCTAAAATTTCGGAAGTTACAATATATAAATTCTTCCACTATGTACTTATGTTCACAATATTCTATTATGTACCACAATATATAAATTCTTCTATTATGTATATAACTTCTTCTATTATGTTCTATTACGCACTTTTATTACTGTGTACTACTATTAGAATTTGGATACCACTGAACACATGAAAGAAAACAGGTAACACAAAATTAATGATTATAAAACATAATCATTTGTGAATTGTATTTCATTTACATAACAGTTATTAGAGCAAAGGGCCAATTTGCCCAGAAAGGATGTTAGTTTTGATATTTTGCGTCGCCCGCTATAAAACGGCGTTTCACTTTTCAAATTGTTGCCACCAGATATTAGAGTCCTGCATTGTATTTTAAAAAAATCAAATAATGAAGGATTTGTATGAATGCAGTTATGTTTCTCGCACTGTAAAAAAAAAAAAAAAAAAAAAAAAAAAAAAAAAGGGTACCTAGATACATCAAATTTTGAATAACTTAGTCCTCCATTCGAATCTGGAAGCCTAAATTTGGAATTTTTAATTTGTTTTATTATCTATTTCACATTCTGTAAAGCTTTAACGAATTTTTCATTAGCAAACTCAACGATTTTAAAACGAGCAAAGGCAATACTGTACGGAGAAAAAAACATTTTTATCTCCAGGGAGCGATACTGTGTATCGGAAACTTAAAAGATATGCTCTTTTAAAATACTTTGTGATATTGCTGTTGAATTGAATTTTATGGTTTAAGTGCGAAGAAAATTATGTTTGATAAAAAATAGGTAACATGCAAACAATATGAAATTTGAAAATTTTAGTGGTTTTTTCCCCCTTGAATCTTTACTATCACTTCTCTCTTCCCGTTTTCCCCTCGAAATGCAAATTAAAGCTCTCGCGTATTTAATTGAGGGTTTGAGATTCTGAAACCAGAGCATGTTCTGGCGTTTGAAGGCCATGTTACTAGGTAAGAGTTGTTGTCTGCCGATATTTGAATTCACTCTGGTGGAATTCCGAGCCAACTTGGCGATGAAATTACTCTAGCCTTTGCTTATTAGCTGTTTAAATTTAGTTCTACGTTTGAATAAGCCATAAGCGCCATAAGTGCTGGCGGAATTTCTAAACACCATCATCTGTTCATCTTATTGAGTTCAAAATAATAATACGTCCTTCGAAAGTTTCTGTACTTTCTATCTTAGACTAAAAGATAAGTTGTTCAAAGTCTCCCAAAACACATTTCACAATAGTAAAAAACGTTAAACTTTATATAGAGACATTTTTGAAATTTGATATATAAGTATTTGATTTTATTTCAAAGTTGTCGAGGATTTATTTTCAAACCATATGGTTTTTGAAGTTTTTCTAGCGGAAACTGTCTTTTACTCACAATATATTCAGTCAAGCTCTCAATCGCCGGAATGGAATCTAACCCCCTACCTCTTTTTGGGTACTCCTATTGGCCCATCAGCGGTCGAGCAATAAAATCGCAGAACACTCATGTTTCGAAGCAGATTCAAATCCCCACTAATGAGCTGATGCTGGAAGTTTCCGCAGTTTTCCTTATGCATAATGTGAATACAAAACAGTTGACTTTAAAATGACCTCCACGAAGGCAACCTTTTAAGTAGACAATCCTCTAGTGCTTTGCTACAATCTTCGTAACCCAAATCCAACCCCCTCGACATATGAAAAAAATTGGTATTTAACTGTGAATACCACTTGTATCTATTTGTAAATGTGAATACATTTATAATAGTATCAGCTAAAATTCAAAACAAAAGTTAATTCCTAAAACTTAAATAAAATACTAAAACAAAATCATGCAAATTTCAAATTACACGCTCCGTGATGTAGTAATCTTAATACGCTTTCAGTATTATTTACTCTTCTATCTACCTAAGTTTTTATTAGTACACAATGCAATTTTTTAATGAATGATTAAATTAGCGAGTTTGTGATTTAAATTAATGATTTAAAATTAATGGAATGAATAATTTATAAAAGTTAAATGTTATTGTGAAGAAGAGTTACGTGTCTTACTATTGCGTATTATCTCATTAAATATTAGTTACCATCAGCTTGAAACATTTGTCTTTTATGTATTGTACCATACTGTGTATTTGGATAATTATGGCGTATTAATACGTCATTATAGAAGATTAAAATTATGATAAGATTTTACATTTTTTCAGTAAACTTTTTAATTAATTCAAAAATAACTCAAGTTACAGAATTGCAATATAGTATCATATTAGTGATTAATAATCAAGTAATATAAGAATAATTTACGACTTTATCATTTCGGAATCAGATTCCGAAAAAAAAACGCAAGATTACAATCTTACGATTTCTTATCCAATTGCATAATAAATCTTAAAAGGATTTAACACGTTAAATTATTCTTATTATACTTTGATATACACTTGCGTGTAGAAAGGTCAGTAATAAAGGGCAGAACTCACTCACGTTATGCCTTGAAGTACGTGTTTCCTTCCGCGATTTAAATTAAATTATGTGATTTCCAATATCATATTTTTAAAAAAAATCTGAAAGGTTTTTAGGTTTTTAACTGTAGCCCAAACAGATTTGTTAAGCTGACATTTTTTTTTTGGGGGGGGGCATTTTTATTATTAACTTTATATATGTTATTTTTATTTATTAAGTATCACCTTCTCTTCTCTTCTTTCAATTCAGAATCTTCAAAAAATCACAAAATATTTAAGTACAGCATATCTTAAGAATTCCCAATAAACAGTCAGGTGCGCTGGGGATAAAAATGCTTTGCTCAGCCGGGATAGTGGTTAGCGACGCTGACTGTGCGCCATGGGGGCACTCCAAATATGCAGTGGGCCGAAAGTTCTCTCGAGAGGTTGGTGGTAAGGGAAGATGGGTGTGAGATCTTCGAACCCGTCTCGCCTTGGGTTGCTCTTCATCAAAATTGGGGGCGGAACTGAGCAAAGTCGTACTTTCACCTATATATTTCACCTATATATTTCACCTATGTATTTCACCTATTTTCTCTTCACATACACAATTTCTCTTTTTAAGGGAATAAAATATTTTGATAATATTTTATTTATTTATAACTTGTGAAAAAGGTGTTTTCTATTCAAGGTATTAAAACATTTTAGAACAGTTTTGCTTCTTGAAACAGTTTGTATTTCTAACTTCCTTGAAATACGTTCAGTGTTTCGATAATTAATGGCAAATAAAGTTCAAGTTACCATTCCTATCGATCGATTGTGTTTTTAAACAAAATGTATATTTTTTTTTCATTTGAAAACGGTGATTCACATTAATGTTGGAAGCGCAAATTCAACTTAAAAAAAATAAAATAAAATAAATCAGATAACTTTCCGATTTTATATTACACCAAAGGGGCCGTTTTTATATTCACACACATACACGTTTCGCGAGAGTTTGGGCTAATGTCCCTTTGGGCTAAAAACAGCATATCAATCTCGAGCGCTGGAGATAAAAATATTTTTTTTTATCTGTATAGTGCTGCCATTACTCGCTTTGAAATCGCTTGAATTTGTTAATCAAAAATTCATTAAAAATTCACAAAATATGAAATAGACAATAAAACCAAATCCAAATTCGGGCTTCCAGTTGCCCATATTTATAATTGATTTAACTGAAATAAAAATAACTTAGCCTCTTACTTAACTAATTTAATTTGGCTAAAGACAAATTAAGTTTGCATTTTACCTGCTATTAAATATATGACTAAAGTTTTAATGATAGAGCATTTGTCAAGATTACAGTAAATTTAATTAAAAAAGTAATTTATTGAATTAATTATTCAATAAATTATAATTAATTTAAGAATTTTTAACTCCAATATTACTTTGAGGAATTATGAAATTAATTAAATAAAATATTTTTACAACACTTTCGAATCCGTAAGCCTAACGATATACTTTTTATATATTTCAAAATAGGAAAAAATGAATTTTAATTATCATAGAGTTCAATTAAATTAGTACCATAAAATTTTGCTTACGAAATAAATTACAATATCCAGTTAATATAGTTAATTAATGTTCATTTTTAAACATTTAACTTACATATTTCGATAAGAAATTTATTGAAAGCTAAATTACTCAAATTCATAACGCAATTCCACCAGAATTCTAAGAATTTTCATGTTCTTTCGATATACTATTCTTAACGAAAAGCAAAAACAAAAAATTTCGAAAATTCAAAGCATTTTAGAAATAAAAGACAATACCTAGAAATATTCTATGAATATTGTCGATGATAAACGATACTTACGGTATGAATCATAGTTTACGTTTTGGGTATAATTCCTATCTCAATTCTACTTTAATTCTCAATTTTATAACGTCTTCCTCTTCTGTAACTGAAGCTCAAAAGAAGCGATGATAAGGTTACTTCTTTATATACGAGGAAGAAAAGATGGTTTTGTTTATATCTTCAAAAAAAGAACCATTTCGGAAGAAGTTACTAAACCTGTCGCTAATTCTACGTCACTAGCCCACTTTTAGAAGGTTACTTCAACGTTAAATTGAATGTTTTAGAGGGAAAATGGCGTAAGGAAATCTGAGTATTGCTACGTTCTTTCTATATGAGTGGTTACAAATTGTCATGCTGATAAATAAAATAAAATTTATGTAACTTTTTTTTAATTTCAATGAAAAACTATGCGTTTAAATTTTAAATAGCATTTTATTAAGCCGAGGTTTGTTGTAAAAATTTAAATATATACCTACTTGCTATTGCATATGAGTTAATTATTTGAATCCAATAGATCATTGAAATGTTATTACTTCATTATTCCTATGATACGAAAAGAGTTTCTTTATGAAGATTGAAAGATATAGTTATTATTTATCTTTGATATACACACCTTTGAACTTCAATCACTTTCACATACACAAGAATTCCTCTTTTATTTTTAATTTAACTACTAAAGTTTAGATTAAGATTTTTATGTTAGTGCTTTACTCACGAATAAACCACTCAAATTTAAGAAAATTAAAAGTGAGAACGAAAAATGATTTATTATTTTTAGATTATTTTCAGATTTCTTAAAATGTGTTTGCTTTAATTTGCTTTCAGCTTAATTGCTTCAGATTTTAACTGCATTTTATTTATTTGAATTTTATAATAAAATTTTAGCATAGTCAGCACACTGACAAAGAACCAGAAGTTTTATTTAGTAGTTATTATACCTTTCGGGCTAGCTGATTATGACATAGCATACAAGTTCTATCTGCCTAAATGGAAGGATGCCTTAGTAGAGGACTTACTAACGGAAACTGTCTCGTATAAATTTTACACATAGGGTGAAGCACGAAAACACTCATGCAACCAGCGAGCGCATCCACCGAGATTCGAAAGCACATCAAACTACCAGTATATTTAGCGACTTTCTCGCTTCGCTGTTGATGAGCCTACTTATATTTCTTAATTGATTTCGGTTATTTAGCATGGCTTTGATTCTTTTGTAATTTGCCTTTTGGTCATATTTTTATCTTTTAAATTAAAAATTTAATACGCTCAGATTATTTAAAATTTAAAATTTAACAAAAGAAAAATCTCAGTTTGGGGCTGATTTTGAATAAATCTCTTTTGAATTTTAGGAAAATAAGACAAACGTTCCTGTTCAAAAATTGCTCTCTCTAATTTAAATCTAAAATTTTCTTCTCTTCCTCTTAAATAATAGGAACCTGCCCTCTAAACTGACAGATTTTTATTCAGAATTTACAGCAAACTAAACCTTCTTTTTTGCCTAATTTTAAATTCTACATTGACCTGTTTCTCTTCCAGTTTAACCATAAATTACCTAATGCTTAACACATGTACACATACACACACAAAAAAAAGAATGAAAGAAAAAGAACAGAAAAAAATACTTTTAAATAGTTTCCATTTACTTTTGCCAGATGTAAGATACTCTACTCTTGAGCATTTTCTTTTCTGTTAATAAACTCTGTATTTGTGACAGACTTATATTAAACGCTCCAGTGATAACGCATAATTTGAAACACGAGGATATTTTAAGCATGAAATGTCCTTTAATCTTTAGTATAATTTATTTATTTAATCATAAAGGAAAGTACGTTTTTCACAAGATAAAAACTATCATTTAAGATTCATTTGTTTTGGCTTAATTATCTCAATTATAAGAGAGAAAAGTAATGTAATGGATCTAACGTGTCTTCTTATAATTTTATAACGTAAATTTTGAACAGAAATTTTGAAACATTCCTGGCAGATTACAAAAAAAAATTAGAAGTTTCAGAAAAAAAAAGCTATAGATAGATAGATATTGAGAATGTGAAACTTCAGAACTGTTCATCTGTGGGTGATATATTAGTTCTACCATCTCAAGCGCAACCCTGGCTGGCGTTCTGCCAAAACACATAGACTGGTCCAAAAGGAGTGTTAATACTTGCTTTGACATGAAAGTCTTCTCTTCTCCGGAAAGAGATATGATGGAGGCAAAGAAAATCCTCATCCTTCCACCCTATTTTGAGAATAATTTGCTCTGAATGGCGCATGCGTTTTTGTGTTGGAAATGAATCCAGTTATATCATTTTATATTTATCTTTTTGGAATGGCAACAAAAATTATATTATTTAGTTAGAATATTCTATCTGGCTGTTGAGTTTAAAATGGTAATAAAGATGTGTCTGTTCTAACTACGTTTTCGTATTCATTGTGTAAAAATAAACACCGTAGTATTTAAACCCGGCGAAGTAGATTTTTATTTTATCAGGGCCATTTTGCCACATTTTGGCGCCCGGAATAGGGACTTTTAAATAAAAGTCAGTCATAATTTGAACTACGGTGTTAAGGTTTATTTCTGATTCAAAGCTGCGCATTAAGATTATGGATACGACAGAACGAAGAGTTCTTCGGCGGTTGTTCACAGAAGCAAATAGTTTAGAAGAACTTATCTCCAGTAGAGGGGATAAAATAGAACTGAAAGCAAGATTTGAAACATTAAAAATAAAATATGAAAGGATTAATGCTCTAAATTCCACTCATTTAGAAGAAGTTCTGAAAGATAAAAATGTGACAGAAGATAAGGTAGAAGAAGAAATGGCGAAATGCGGTGAATACGAATTAAGATTTCTTAAAATTAAAGAAGCAATTTTTACTGAAACAGCACTCTCAGATGTTGAAGCTATATTTCAGATTGAGTTCAAAACTCAGATAAAATTACCTAAGATAGAATTAACAAAATTTGATGGAGATTTAAGAAACTGGATTGGTTACTGGGGACGGTTTTCTAAAATTCATAATGATCATTCTTTATCAGATGAAGATAAATTTGAATATTTGAGAGTATGAAACCTGGGTCATCAGCACAAAAATTAATTGAAGGTTTTCCACCGTCAAAAGAAAATTATGAAAAAGCTATAAAGCTTTGGTATAAAGTTTGTTTTAAAATCCAGTAAATCCAGATAGGAAGGAAGAATTTTTAATAGAACTTCTGTGTTCGTGAATCATTGCCTCTACTTCTACTAAAAGGAAAAAATATTCCAATTCCGCAACTCTATGACAAACTAGAAACACAGTTACGTGCTTTAGAATCTTTAGGCGTAACTAAAGAAAAATATGCAGAGATGCTTTTCCCGTTAGTTGAGTCAGCTATACCAGAAAACATTTTTAAGATCTGGGAAAGACCCCGGGTAACTAAAAAGCTTCGACTAAAAATCCTAATGATTGTGTTTATGCGAGTTATTGGAATTTTTAAAAATAGAAGTAGAAGGTGAGGAAAGATTAAAACTTAGAAAAGGTTCTTTTGATTATGAAAGAAAATTTCCTTTTAATGGCAAAACAAAAGGTAATTCGAGAATTAACAGCAGAAATAAAGATATTCCTACGGCTGCTGCCTTAGTTTCAACAGAGAATTCTCCAATTAAAGAAAGAGTTTGCATTTTTTCTGATAGAAAAAGTCATAATTCCCAAGACAATGCTATAGCTGCTGTTTCTTCAGTTGATGAACGTAATAAAATACTGAAGAAAACGGTGTATGTTTTAAATATTTAAGAACGGTTATATGTATTCAAAATGTCGAGTTTTTACAAGATGGGCGTTATGTAAAGGCATTATTCTATTAGTGTTCCAAAATTAGAAACTATGAAAATGATAAAACGTCTCAGAATGAAAATGAATCAGAAGTAGTTAAAACTTATCTATTTCATCTAGTATTCCGTTTCATATTTACAAACTCTGATTGCACATATTGTTGTTGATAATAAAACATATCCAGTGAGAGTATCATGTGATTCAGGCTCTCAAAAAAATTATATTAAGAATTCGATTGCAAAAAAATGGATCTTCTCTGAACGATTGTCTGGAAGTTGGACCAAATTTAATAGATTTAATTCCAATAGTTTTAACTAATTTTAGAATTTATGCAATCACTTAATCTTCTGATATAGAAAAGGCATTTCTACAAATTGAAATTGATCTAGCAGCTAGAGATTTCCTACGCTTCTTGTGATGGAAGAGAAGGGAATATTGTTGAATTTTGGCTTGGCATCCAAGATGTCCAGGCCCGGTTTGAAGCGATGCACCGTTCTGCACGAAAGCGAGTCAACTTGGCGACGGAGAAAGTGAAGACCAGATACAACACGAGAGCTACTGGACATAGATCCAACAAAGGAGACAAGGTGTGGTTGTGGAAGACTCGAAGGAAAGGACTTTATCCGAAATTACAGTCACCTTGGGATGGTCCGTACACGTACTAAACAGGCTGAATGACGTCGTGGTACGGATCCGTAAGTCTTTGAACTTTAGGTTAAAGTCGTTCATTACGACAGGTTAGCTCATTACTATGGCCATAGTACGTAATGTAAATAATTGTAAATAGTGTAAGACCATGGTCCTTTTTGTTTCTAAATGTCTATTTGGTTTTATTTGTATTTAGTATTTCATTGCGTTTATTGTTCATGTTTTTTTTTCAGTTGTTATTGTAATGTAATGCATAAATGCAACAAATGCATTTATGCCTTTAGTTGTAAATTTGGCTTCCTGTCCAGGGATTGTACTGCCCTGGACGTGCAGTCCTTGGGGAAGGAGGCAGTGTTACGGATTTGGTATTTAAATAGCTAATGTTAGTTGAATTATAAATTAAATTGTTTTATTCACCGTGCAGTGTAGCGCGCGACGAATATTATAGGAAAGCTAAGCCGGAAAATTAAAAATACAAGAGCACGTGCATTTAACATTTAAGAAATAAATATATCTCTTTTTGATTTCGAGAAAATTCCAGAAAATTCTCGTGCGCGATTTAAAATCTTATAAAAAGGAGGAAAACCTCTCAGTTCGTTTTTGTTAGTTTGTTGTTGTTTTAAGAGTTTGTTTAGAAAACTGTTCTCATTGACTGTAGTGAATTCGCGGATTAGCTTTCTTTAGCTGTTTTGAATTAAGTTCTTTTGAACGTCTGAG